GTTTTCCTGTTTTCGTGATTGCATCTTGGCGTGTAAACCACCAGTTCTTCCTGAATGCAGGCTGGTTTTTCTAGGAACGAACAGTCTCGCGCATCAGCCATGCGTGGTACCTTGTCTACTAGAACTGATGAGATGTGTGTGGCTGCTGGGTCCTTGCGCGTCTGACCGCCCTGTATGGTTTTCTTTAGAGTGAGGATGCATCGGTAGGTTGCGCGTTCTCTCGCTAACGTGCCACATTGTTTGTTATTGTTCCTGTGCCCCTCCCTTTCTTGCCCCCCTTTTTCCCCAACCATTTTGTGGTGGTGGGCCATCGTTTTGAGGAGACGGTCCCGCATTCTTCTCTCATTTCCTTTATCGCCCCTTCCTCCCTCTTCCCGTCACCCCCGCGATGCTGGCACACCCCCCACACGCTTCGTTGCCCCAGAGGGAGCTCCACCGAAGGCCCCAGTGGGATGTCAGCATGCGTTTGCAACACCCAATACAGCGTTTCGTGGCCCCGTACAGAACCCCACCGAAGGCCCCAATGGGGTTGCACACGCGCGCCCGCCACACCCAGTACACCGCTTCGTTGCCCGATGGGGAATCCCACCGAAGGCCCCAGTGGGGGTGCCCGCATGCGCCCGCCACACGCAGTACAGCGCTTCGTGGCCCCATAGGGATCTCCACCGAAGGCCCCTGTGGGGGTGCCCGCCTGCGCCCGCCACACCCAGTATACCGCTTCGTGGCCCCAGGCCACCGAAGGCCACAATGGTGGTGCCCGCATGCGCCCGCCACGCCCAGTACAGCGCGCGTCGTGGCCCTACGGCCCCAGTGGGGTGCCCGCGTGCGCCCGCCACACCCAGTACACCGCTTCGTGGCCCCATAGGGAGCTCCACCGAAGGCCCCTGTGGGGGTGCCCGCATGCGCCCGCCACACCCAGTACAGCGTTCCGTGGCCCCATATGGAGCTCCACCTGAGGTCCAGGTGGGGGTGCCCGCATGCGTCCGACACACCCATTACAGCGCGTCGCTGCCCCATAGGGTGCTCCACCGAAGGCCCCTTTGGGGGTGCCAGCATGTGCCCGCCACACCCAGTGCAGCGCTTCGTGGCCCCACAGGGAGCTCCACCAAAAACCCCAGTGGGGGTGCCCGCATGCGTCCGCCACACCCAGTACAACCGAAGGCCCCTTGTGGGGGCGCCCGCACGCGCACGCCACACCCAGAACAGCGCTTCGTGGCCCCATAGGGAGCCCCACAGATGGGCCCAGTGGAGCCCGCGTGCGTCTCCCCCACCCAGTACAGCGATTCGTGGCCCCAAAGGGAGCTCCATCGAAACTCTCAATTTGCAGCCCGCATGCGTCGCCCCCACCGAGTACAGCGTTCCGTGGCCCAATAGGGAGCTCCACCCGAAATCCCAATGGCGCAACCCGCATGCGTCTCCCCCACCCAGTACAGCGCTTCGTGGCCCCACAGGGAGCTCCACCGAAGATTCCAGTGGCGCAGCCCGCACGCGCCGCCCCACCCAGTACAGCTTTTCGTGGCCCTATAAGGGGGTTTCGCCGAAGACGATACCTACAACTGCGGTTTTCACAACTGCATATGGTTGGGTCTTTCGCCAGGCTAATGCTTTGCCACATGGCGTGTCTACCACCAGATCGTCCTGAATTCCGGCTGGTTCTTCTAGGAACGAACCGTCTCGCGTATCAAGTTTGTTTTGTACCTTGAATTATAGAGGTGATGATAGGTGTGGCTACTGGGTCCTTGCAAGTCTGACCGCTCATTATGGCTTTCCTTACGGTGAGGATTAATATTTGTGTGGTGCGTTCTCTCGAACACGTGCCACACCGTATTTTTCCTGTCCCTTGTTCTGTTCCTCTTTCTCCTGTTTTATGTTCTGCCTCTTGGTGTGTATATTACCAGCTCTTCCTGAATTCAGGCTGGTTATTCTAGGAACGAGCCGGCTCGCATATCAGCCCTGCGCAGTACCTTGTATCCTAGAGCTGATGAAATGTGTGGCTGGTGGTTTTTTTTTAGGGCTGTAGTGACGTGGCTGCTCCAGGCCTCGCAGGTCGGGCAGATCTTGCACCCCTCAGGCAGTCGATGCTATGATTGCAGTCGTGGCAGTCCTTTGGAAAATAAGCCTGGCGAAGGACCCAACCATATGCAGTAGTGAATACCGCAATTGTGAATATCTTTTTCGGTGGCGCTTCCCATGGGGCCACGACCCGTGCAAGGGGTGCGCCGGAATGTGTGGCGGGGTATACGGCACGAACGATGGCAACAAGTCTGAATGTCTTGGGTCTGGCGGACGCATGTGGGCACACCCATTGGGGCCTTCTGTGGAGTTCCCTATGGGGCCACGAAGCGCTGTTCTGGGTGTGGCGGACGCATGCGGGCACCCCCACTGGGGCCTTCGGTGGAGCTCCCTGTGGGGGGGGGGCCATGGAACGCTGTGCTGGGTGTGGCGGACGCAAGCGGGCACCCCCACTGGGGCCTTCGGTGGAGCTCCCTATGGCCACGAAGCGGTGTAATTGGTGTGGCGGACGCATGCGGGCACCCTCACTGAGGCCTTCGGTGGAGCACCCTATGTATGGGGCAACGAAACGCTGCACTGGGTGTGGCGGGCACATGCGGGCACCCCCACTGGAGCCTTCGGTGGAACTCCCTATGGCGCCACGAAGCGCTGTACTGGGTGTAGCGGGCGCATGCGTGCACCCCCGCTGAGGCCTTCGGTGGAGCTTCCTATGGGGCCGCGAAGCGCTGTTCTGGGTGTGGCGTGCGCGTGCGGGCACCCCTTTGGGGCCTTTGGTGGAGCTCCCTTTGGGGCCACGAAGCGCTGTACTGGGTGTAGCGGGCGCATGCGTGCACCCCCGCTGAGGCTTTCGGTGGAGCTTCCTATGGGGCCACGAAGCGCTGTTCTGGGTGTGGCGTGCGCGTGCGGGCACCCCCGCTGGGGCCTTCGGTGGAGGTCCCTATGGGGCCACGAAACGCTGTACTGGGTGTGGCGTTGCATGCGTGCACCCCACTGGGGCCTTCGGTCGAGCTCCCTATGGCATGGGGCCGCGCAACGCGTGATGAGTGTGCCCAAGTGGGGGGGGGACGGGCGGAGGGATGAGGAGGAGGAGGAGGAGGAGGAGGAGGAGGAGCGGAGAGGAGGAACGCGGGGATTGTCTCTTCAAAACGAGGACCCAACACCACAGGACTCTTGGGAAAATCAACCGTAAAATTGGTGCGGTCTCCGCATCGCGCACATGCGCTTCTGACCTTTCAGTATGGCACTCTTTAAAGTGAGGATGTATTTCTACTCCCCGCCCATCCTAGCCAAAAACCATTGCAAAGAAGCGGCGGGATGATGAGCATCGTTTATAGCGTGTGCACCCGCAATGGGTCACACTTGTTTTTGACAGGGATATCGGGACAAAGCCATGCGACAGGCTCACACCCCCACCATCCTCGTCAACAGCCAGTCCAGGATGCCCACCGGGGTCCCATTCACGAGCCACGGGTTTGCCGCCAAGTTAATCGTTGCTGTTTTGACAGAGGTGGCGGGGGTCACATGGTTCCTGGTTTGGCGGCTGGTCGAGCCGGGAAGGGGTGCTCATTAATAACGAGCAGTCGTAATCCCCTCTCCGATGGGGAGGGGCGGGATTTGGAAGAGCTGATTTGTGAACCTATCTACGCCAAGATGGTCGGTGGGATTTGTCCCAGGTCGCCCGGGGGGGTACTGGAGGGCAAAGGATGTCATGCAAAGAGGTTTTGCTGAGCCAGCCCTGCGCAGATCTATGGGAGGATTGGCGTACGTTCTGGCAGGCCCAACCTCGCTGTGGTGAAGCACGTTGGCGGTGGATGTATTGTCTGGCGCCTTCTCATATATCTTTTTGGGTGTGTCTTCGGCCGCCTTGGGAGCATCTATGGTTCGAACTCTGGACAAGCTGCTCGGCGATACGTTCCCCGTTCCCTGTGTGCGGCGCCAAGATGGCGCCTAGACGGCTCAAGATGGTTCGAGAATGCTCTCAGGACGGCCCAGTGGGTCTCCAAAAACTTCGAGATGGACTCAGATGCCCCAAAGAGGCGCACGCGAGCCTCAAGAGTTGTCAAGATAGACCCCAAACAGCCCCCATCGCCCGAACTTAATGGGGCTCTTTCCGAACGGCTTCCTCTGTTTCTCGGTTCAACAACTCCAAGACGGCTTCCGCGGTCTCCACAAGTTGGCTCACAAGGGGTCCGAGAGTAGTTCCAAACAGCTCAACAGGGTTCCAAGAGTGCCCCCAGGCAGCCCCATGGCACCCCTTGGGTGTTCCAGACATTCCAAGCCAGATTCAAACTGGGCCCAAGATGGCACCAAAATGGCACAAGAGAGCCCCAGCAAGGACCCACGGACCCCCCAGACGGCTGAAGAGGCAGCCTAAATGGTTTCAAAAAGATTGCAGGCTCAGCATATACTGCTCAAGAGGCCCCAAAGAGTGCGAGTTTTGGCCCGAGCAGAAGAAAGCAGCAGCGCGCAGCAAGCACACATCTGGAATCAGCAGCCAGCAGCATTACACATCAGCAAGCAGCATGCAGTACCAAGCGGCACCACGCAGCGGCGAGCAGCCCTGACCGGCAACAAGCGGCAACAGCAACAAGCGGATCAAGCAGCGACGTTCGTTATTGTGTTCGAGTTGGATTTCGCTAAGGATCATGCTTTGGGGGATGGAGATCTGTTTGCGTTTGACGAGGGGTCGTGGCCCTGGGAGCGCTGACCCGCAGTGTTCTCCAGGGACTGGCCATGCGAAGGCGGATCCATATAATGCTTGTCTGTCCTTGACCACCCAGCGGTTGAGAGAACAAACCTTAGGACATTTTCAATGGTGTTTTCGGCCCCTGTCGTCTGATACAGTGAAACTGTGGAGAATACGAAGGTCTGCTCTGTTGAGGTTGCGTGGAGTTGAGTTAACTCGCTCAGACTCAAAGCTTGCGGCTATCGAAGAAGCTTGCCCTGCGCAGCCTGGTGCCTTCGCAAGACGGCTGGCGGGTTCCAAGGGTGTGCTTGGCACCGCCGACAAGGTTAAGAAGCGCGAGCACAATCAATTCCGTACATCCACGACCGCCTGGCTCGCGTCGACGCAGTCGCCTGTCGTCGACGCGCTGGACCGGCGAACTGCGAACCTCTCCCGCGTACCGAGGGAGCACAATGAGGCGGTTCAGCTGCTCCACTACGACGAGGGTCAGTTCTATCACTCCCACCTGGACTGGGGCGACCTCAGGGCGCACAACGGGAAGAGGGAGGTGTGGAAGAATACCCACTTCGGCTGGCAAGGCCGCCTGGCCACGCTGTTCTGGTACCTGAACGACGTGGCCGAGGGAGGCCAGACTGTTTTCCCGCGGGAGGGAAGCGTCATCTGCCCTGGTTTCGTGAACCACTGCCAGGGCGTGCGGGCTGTCTCGAACAAGGCTTGCAATGTGGGCCTCCAGGTGCAGCCCAGGATCGGCGATCGATGTCCGATTCATACCACAGCTGCTGCCCCCCTCTCTGGGCGCCAGGAGGAGAAGGGTATGGATGACAAGCTGGGCACCTAGGACCTAGGGCCAGCGTCTTACCCATGCCCCCACTCTGTCGCCAAGGGGGGGCTGTTGCGGGCATGGATAAAACGTTGATCTCCTACAGGAAGGGCTCGGTGCTGCTGTGGTACAACTACCACGCCAACGGCAGGGGCGACTACAACGCCCTTCACGGGGGTTGTCCTCCCGCTGAGGGCCTCGAGAAGTGGACTGGGAACAAGTGGATCCGCATCAAGCCAGGGAGCACTCCGCCAGCGGAGTGGATGGAGGACCACCCTGGGCTGAAGCGCTTCGGCTGGAAGGAGAACGCTCTCGAGGATCTGGTCGGGCGCAGGAAGGTCCAGGATGATCCGGCAGCCACCTGCAGCCTGTCTGTGAGCAATTTGTACTCGAAGACTGACGCCCTCAAGCTCGCCTGGATCAACCCAAAGACCAGGCAGGCGAAAGAGGTGGCAGAGGTCCTGCCTGGCAGAAGTACTCAGTTGAAGTCCTTTCTGGTCACGCTGCCGCGCACATCTTCCGCGCTGTGGGCCAGGAAGGCCTAGGATGAGGATACATCGTTCTAGAGCATTCTGGAAGGCTCTCAGAGCGTTCCGGAACCCTCTGAAATGGGCACGGCGCCCGAAACATCTTCCAGTCGCGCCGGTTTTCACAGACTCCCGACTCATCCTCATTTGGATTTGTGCTCACCCTGCCTTCGTCTAAGCCAACGCGGCCCCCCACCAGGACTTGGAGGGCCCAGTCCACCTGCTTTCGGAACACCAATATCTCGTGTTCTAGCCGCATGCGTCTACGGACACATTAAATCCCATTACGTCTAAAGATGCATTCGGGATGGATACTGGTGCTTCGGCAGGGGGCGCAACCCAGGAAGCAGCAGTGGGGCCCCAAAATTGCCAGAGCGGCGAGGCACGAGGACGAGGACGACGACGACGATGACGACGACGTTGACGACGACGACGACGACGACGACGACGACGACGACGACGACGACGACGGCGACGACGACGACGACGACGGCGGGGGGACGACCACGGCGACGACCATGGCGACCTCGACGACCGCAACGAAAACAGCGACCACAACGAGGCCCCACACGGCGCAGCCCTGCTGTCTTGGAGGGCTCTTCTTTCAGTGGCAGACTTTTGCAGTTCGCGCATGGACCCCTGTGCCTCCTGGGGACTTGTTTTCCCTCGGAGGTTTCCTTGGGCTGGGCCTCTGATTTTCGGAGACGTTTATAGCGGATCGGTCGTCATGTTTAGATATCATTGGATTCCAGGGTTCCAATATATATATATATATATATATATATATATATATTTATTGTAGTGGCCTTCGGCCAGTGCCGCCGATCCGGGTCGCTCGGGGTTATTCTCCAGACGCAGAAATTATGGGCGCACACTCAAACGCACACACACAGTCACACCACTTAACCTGCGCCGCAGACATGCGCACACAGCATCACCCACACACACATACTAGTTGGGAAACGCTCCTGTAGTACTAGTAGTAGTATTAGTAGTAGTAGTAGTAGTAGTAGTAGTAGCAGTAGTAGTAGTAGTAGTAGTAGTAGTAGTGGTAGTAGTAGTAGTAGTAGTGGTTGTGGTAGTAGTGGTAGTAGTAGTAGAGGCCTCGTTCCGCGGCTTCTCTCGACTTCCCGCGGTCTCTCTCAAGTTTCGAGCACGCGGTGAGTTTCACGATATATGTGTGTGTATGTACGCGTGCATGCATGTATGCATGCATTGATCATGTGTGCCTGTGTGTAGGTACGTATGTATGTATGTATGCTTGTGCGCGTATGTATGTATTTAGTTTGTATGTATGTTTGTATGTGTGTATGATAATATGTGTGTATGTGTGTGAATGTAAGTATGTATGTCTGGAAGATTGTTTTTCTATGTATGCAAATGTGTTTAAATGTAGGTATGTATGCATGTGTGTATGGATGTGCGTTTGAAGAGCGAGGATGTTTCAAAGAAGAGGCACTCGGTGACGCGATCGTTGAGGGATAGGAGTGAGGTCGCAGAGGAGGAGGAGGAGAATGAGGAAGAGGCGATAACTTGAAGGAAAACGATGAGACGGAGGACATCCTGCCGGTGGCGCCCTGGGCGGTGCCGCGGAAGAAACCGGGGGCCTGCCGGAGGCAGTCTGGAGGCCTCTGGGGAGCTGTTTTGGGGCCTCTTGGAACCTCTTTTGGGCCTCTTGTGGGCTTCTTGGGGCCCCTTGGGGGTCTCTTGGGGCCTCCTGGGGGCCTCTTGGGGCGGAAAGCTCGGTTCTTTCGGTTCGTGGTCTCCCTCTTGGGCCCCTCTTGGGGCTCTCTTGGGGCCTTCTTGGGCTGTCCAGAGGCCCTCTTGGGCCGTCTTGGGGCCCTCTTGGGCCGTCTTGGGGCTCTCTTGGGCCGTGTTGGAAGCATCGTGGGCCGTCTTGGGACGGACTTGGGGGCCTCTTGGGCCGTCTTCGAGCGTCGGACGCCCGAAAAGGCAAGAACGCTAAAAACCCTGAGAAAACCAATGAAAATCAACGATTCTGGCCTCTTGGGGCCCTCTTGGGAGGCCTCTTGGAAGCTTCTTGGGGCGTCTTGGAGACACCTTGGGCCGTCTGGAGGCCATCTCGGGCGTCTTGGAGCGATTTTTCGGCGACTCGGGGCCCTCTTGGAACCCCTTGGGGGTCTCTTGGGCCCCCCCCCTCCTCCAAAGCGCCGGAAAAAGCGGAGCATGGCGCCCCCCCCCCCCCTATCTTCCACTCCCCCGGAGCGGCCCCGGGGTTCGCCGGAAACTCGCACCCCCCCCCCCCCCCCCACCCCCCCTTCCCCGGCAGAGCCACCCCGGCGACCCCCCCAGAGGCTGAAGCTCAGCCTCGAGGCTGTAGCTGAGACTCCTTGAAACTCACACGCCGGATCGGCGGATTAGGCGCTTTCCTACTTCACCCATCGAGTGGTGTTCCCTTTTCCTTCACTTTAGGGGATGGTCGGGAACTCATTCTACAGCCGGACCGAGGCAGAAGGTCGAGGTCGGTTCGGGGAGGGTACCCTCGTGTTCTTTGTGTTCATTGGATGTCGTTGTGCATCCTGGGGAGGGTACCCTTGGATGTTCTGTTTGTGTTTGCCGACGGAGGGTCTCATGTTCTTGAGGGATGTTATTCTAGCCTGTAGCTCGATCGCCTTCCTCTTTCATTTTTCTACCCATTTCTTCCGACCGATGGGTACTGCAGGTGGCGGTGTTGGGGCCGCTCGCGCCCCACGGCGATCACGATGACGTCCACCACAGACATCCGCCGATATGTTCTTTCAATCCGCAGCCGCTGAGGTCCCGAGCTCCTCCCCGGGGGCAACTAGCGCTTTGCACCCTGGATCCCGTCCTGCTGGCCCAGGGTTCCGAAAACGGGCCCAGGAGGCCGTCACCGAAGAACGAACCAGAGCTCAGAAGACGGGGATCAATGCAAACGGGGGTCAGCCAGAGCGCCGGATCGTGCAGGATCCTGCAGAGCCAGGGGTGTAATGATTGACCCGGGCTTGTGTGCAGGATTCTGCAGGATCTTGCAGGATCCTGCAACGCCTGACTGAGCCAGGTTTGGATCGACCCGGGTCCGAACAAACGTCGGAATCTAAACGATCATACCGCTGAGATCTGGGATGTGTGATCGCCCTGGCGCCTCAACGTGGGCGAAGATGCTTCAGTGCTACCGCCCACATGCGTCCCCACGACCCAGTACAGCGCTTCGTGGCCCTATAGAGAAGAGAGAGCTCCACTGACGAACCCAGTGCTATCGCGCGCACGCGTCCCCCCCACCCACTACAGCGTTTCGTGGCCCCATAGGGCGTGAGACAATTGCGACGCCCAGATCTCAGGGACCACGACGACGAGCACGACGACGACCACGACGGCGCCCAGCCGCGGCACGGCCGCACAGCGCGGCCGGGCGGATGCCGGCCACCAGTTCGCCGTGGCCCACGGCGGCAGGGAGTCCGAGCCCTTCGCTTGCGAGAGGCCGTGGTCGGCAGGCCGCCGACGGCTAGTCCGGGGTGCTGCCAGGCCAGAGTCGGAGGCCCCCAAACGGCCCCCAAGCGACGCGCCTCGTCAAGAGGGCGTCTCGGGGGTTCCTGGATATCGCCCAAAACGGCCTGCGGAGGCCCGAGTGACTGGCCCGGAAACCAAACATGCGGAGGAGGGGCGGTGCGGTGAGTCAGCGAGGATTCAGGGTCGCCGCGCAGTTTTGGGACTTGGTTCGTTCTCCGAGGACGTCTCGGGCGACTGGGACCTCCAGGGTCCCTGAAAACCGCGTGGCGACGGACCGTGCGGTGGTGAGGTTTTGTAGTGTTCCGAGGTCACCGCGCGGTTTGCCACACGGGTTTGGGACCCCGAGCAGACTCGTTGAGGCACGGAAGCTAGAGGAGACCGCGGAGAAGGGACAGAACCGCTCAGAACGTGAGGTCCAGCGTGGGCCAGCGGCCAGACACGCGCGGGACGCTTCAGGGGCGGCCTCGCCCCTGGGGGAGCCGAGATGCGGTGCCATCTCGCCGTCGGCGGCCAACTCCTGCAGAGCCAGGGATGCACTGACCCGGGTTTACGCGCAGGATCCCGTAGGATCCTGACCCGGATTTGCATTGACCCGGGTGTCCCCGACGCCGGTTGACGTAAACGCTGACCCCCTTCAGGCAGGGGCCCGTTTCGATCCGATTCGAGATCGATTTTGGCCCGCTAGTTCTGGCTTTATCACGACATTTCGACGGTCTGATGTTTCCCGATGCTTGCATGGCGTTGCTGTGCCTCCTGTTTGCGGCCAGTCCGGTTCGATCTCGACTCCGTGCCAGTGCGGCCCAATCCGACGCACATTCCGACTCACGTCCTGATTTTTCCAGTACGGGGTCCCTAGAAGTCCAGACCCGTTCCCTGGGGCCAGTGTTTCAACCCGACGCCTCGCAGCCTCGTCCCAGGACCAGCTTCTCGTGTCGACTCGGCCCCAGGGATGCCAGGAGCCGCGAGGGTTTCGTGGCCGCTGTGGATGTCTTCCCCAGGGCTCCGATGCCTTGTTCTCTCAAGGCGTGGACTCTCAGAGATCTGAACCTCTTCCTTTTCTCCGCAACAATCCTGTGGTCCTCGTTTTGAAGAGACGGTCCCCGCGTTACTGCGCTCTCCTACTCCCCTCCCTCCTCCCTCCTCCCGTCACCCCCCTCACTTTGGCACATCCCTCACACGTTTCGTGGCCCCATGGGGAGCTGCACCGAAGGCCCCGGTGAGGGTGCCCGCATGCGTCTGCCACACCCAGTACAGGTTTTCGTGGCCCCAAAGGGAGCTGCACCGAATGCCCCAGTGGGGGTGCCCGAATGCGTCCGTCACACTCAGTTTCGTGGCCCCATAGGGAGCTGCACCGAAGGCCCTGGTGGGGGTGCCCGCATGCGTCCGCCGCACCCAGTACAGCGAGTCGTGGCCCAATGGGGGGCTCCACCGAAGGCCCCAGTGGGGGTACCCGCATGCGTCCGCCACACCCAGTACAGCGCTTCGTGGCCCCAAAGGGAGCTGCACCGAAGGCCCCAGTGGGGGTGTCTGCATGCGTCCCCCCACCCAGTACAGCGTTTCGTGGCCCCATGGGGGGCTTCACCGAAGGCCCCGGTGGGGGTGCCCGCATGCGCCCGCCACATCCAGTAGTTTCACGGCCTTCTAGGGAGCTGCACCGAAGGCCCCAGTGGGGGTGCCCGCATGCGTCCGCCACACCAGTGAAGGCCCCAGTGGGGGTGCCCGCATGCGTCCGCCACACCCAGTACACCGTTTCGTGGCCCCATAAGGAGATCCACCGAATGCCCGCCCAGTGGGGGTGCCCGCATGCGTCCGCCACACTCAGTACAACGTTCGTGGCCCCACAGGGAGCCCCCAGTGGGGGTGCCCGCATGCGCCCGCCACACCCAGTACAGCGCTTCGCGGCCCCCCAGGGAGTTGGTCCGAAGGCCCCAGTGGGGGTGCCCGCATGCGCCAGCCACACCCAGTACAGCGTTTCGTGGGCCCATACTGAGCTCCACCGAAGGCCCCAGTGGGGGTGCCAGCATGCATCCGCAACACCCATACAGCGTCTCGTGGCCCCATAGGGAGCTGCACCGAAGGCCCCAGTGGGGGTGCCCACATGCGACCGCCATACCCAGTACATCGTTCCGTGACCCCATGGGGAGTTCCACCGAAGGTCCCAGTGGGACCGCCCGCACGCGCCCGCCATGCCTAGTACAGCGTTTCGTGGCCCCATGGGGAGCTCCATCGAAGGCCCCAGGTGGACCGCCCGCATGCGTCCGCCACACCCAGTAAAGCGTTCCGTGACCTCATGGGGAGCTCCAGCGAAGGTCCCAGTGGGACCGCCCGTATGCGTCCCCCGCACCCAGCACAGCGCTTCGCGGCCCCATAGGGAGCTCCACCGAAGGCCCCAGTGGCACCGCTGCGCCCCCCCCACCCAGTACAGCGTTTCGTGGCCGCACGTGGGGGGCTCCGCCGAAGGCCACAGTGGCACCGCCCGCATGCGTCTCCACAACCTACTACAGCGCGTCGTGGCCTCACAGGGAGCTCCACCGAAGGCCCCAGTGGGAATGCCTGCATGCGTCCCCCCCACCCATTACGGCACGCCCCATCACGCGTTGCGTGGCCCACCGGAAGCGGCACCCTCAACGCGTTACTCACATTTACATACGGTTGGGTCCTGTGCCAGGATAATGTTGTTTTTGACGGTCCCGGGACCCAGCGAGGTCCCCAGGGAGACCGAGAGAGGACACCAACACCCCCGTCGTGATTTTGCGCGAGAGGAGGTCGGGGTCGGGGTGGGAAAGCTTCCCCCCTGAGCAGACAACAGACAGCAGGGCTCCCTTCCTGAGGTTCTTCGGCGTCTCAGCCCCACTCGGCCGCCGAGGGGGCTCGAGCTCAAACCCGCTTGGCGGCCGAGCGGGATCAGCTCCCTGGGCCCTGCTGGAACTGAGCCCAGGAGGTCTGGGTCGCGCGAAGGCCCGCTCGGCGGACGAGCGGGAGCAGTTCCTTCAGGGTGAAGCGCGAGATGGGTCGTACGACTCAGACAAGCGAGCCCCATGGGGCCTGCTTGGAGGTGACTCGGATCAGCTTGCTTCACCGAGGAGCGGTAGACGAAACTCAACAGCATGGTGCTGAGGGTGAGATCTTGCGGCGATGGCATCATGTCCTTGAGATGTTGCGCGACGAGAACTGTCAGACTCGACCCGGCCTGTCGGAGCTGAGCCAGCTCGGCCGCCCACGTTGGCGGCCGAAACAAACCCCGAACGCCGAACGGGCTCAGAGGGGAGCCCCAGGGCGGACGGGCCCTCTGCCGGGGTGGGCGTTCATTTCGTCCGCTTGCCGTTCGTCCTCTTTCGATTCGTCCTCTTTCGTCTCGTCCTCTGTCGGTTCGACCTCTTCCGAAGCACGGGCGACTTGAAATTCGACGAATTCCAAGCGGACGGATCGAAACGGACGAATCGAAGTGGACGATACGATTCGGATGAAATGAAGCGGAATCCGAAGCTCGGGGCCGGCTCACCGACCGCGGAGCCCCCGGAAGGGCAGGAGCAGTTTCCACGTCGGCGCCGACCTCGTGGTCCCGCGGGGTGTCGCCAGCGAAGCCGCCCTGCATGGGTTCTTTCTGGGCCGTCCCAGTGTGGGGTGATCCCCTGCGGCTGACTCGTTAGTTTGGGAGCAATGTGGATCGCCTGGCGGCGAGGGCCGCGGACATGGATATGGTGCAAGGGGTCTCGGCCGAGGAGGGAGCCCAGACCGCGAAGCCGCCGATATGGACAGCAGAGCACTGGATTTGTGTCAGTCGACTTCCACCATGTCAGGGATGCTGTGGTCGGCGTTTCTGGGCAATGCGCCGATTTCGGCCATGCCTGAGTCGTGGGGGCCCAGACCCTCGAGTTCCCCGCTCTCGCCCCTGCGAACAGCGCCGACGTCGAGAAATCATAGTTCTGCCTGCTCGCCCACGGTCCCACACACCCGACGTCATGAATTTGTCACAGTGTGGGCCCCCAGAGGTAAGGTCGCGCGTAAGCGCCCTCGCTTCAAATGTGGCATGCCGCGCTGGCGGCCCGCGTGAGCCTCGGAGTAGGGTCGCTGCGTCATCGCGCGTATGACTCCTTTCTTGTCGACGCCCAGGTGTGGAGGGCGACTTTCCACCCGGGCACAACCGACAAAGGTTGCTTTCTGAATCGATCCCGTTCGGCAGCCGAACAGGCTGAGACGCCGAACTGGCTCAGAAGGGAACCGCGAAGCAGCGACAGGGCACACATCCCGATCTGGTCTTTTCAACAGGGGGAGGTCTGCGTTCTCAGAGTGCCGCCCGCCTCCCCCTCTGCGCCGCCACCAATAGCAGTTGCCGCCGCCGCCGCCGTCGCCGCCGTTGTCGCCCCCATCTTCGTCGTCGCCATCGCCATCGTCGCGGTCGTCGTCATCTTATCCACCATCCCGTCCAAGGCCCCCCCTCTGACGAGCCCTCCCCCGCGTCTCGCCCATGTCTGCGCCGCCATCGGCTGGCGGGCCCACCGCAGGTCTCGCCAGCCCCGCCGCCCCTGGGCGGCGCGCGGCCGCGGCCGGGGGAGGAGCTGTGAGCGGGGCTCCCAAGATGAGCTGTGAGCTGGCAGCGGCCGGGGAAGGAGCTGTGAGCTGGCCTCAGGGCGCGGGCCACGGCAGTTTGGCTCTGACGAGAAAATCACGACCTCGGAGGTCTGAGTCTGGGGAGCGTGGAGTCCACGTGGTCCCTCCCGTACTCCCTCTTCCTTCTTGCCTCCCTTCCCTCTTTCGTTCTTGCTTCGTCTTGTGTAGATGGTGGATGCTCATTGGGCGAACGCTCTCTCTGCGGAAGAAGGGTCCTCATTCACGCTGTCGCGTGGCATAGCGATGCTGTTGCATGGCTGTCGTGAGCTCTCTCGGAGTTTTGGGGGGCCTTTTTGGGGTTCTCGGGTGCGTCTGGGAGCCCTCCCGTGTCGGATGCGTCTGGGAGCCCTCTCGTGATCCCTGGGCCCGCATGGGAACGGCATTGGTGCAGTGGGGAGCTTCGTGGGACCGGCTGGAGGGCGGGAGGGTCTCGGGGCGTTCATGGGCACGGGTTGGGTTATCTCGAGTCCGTTCTGGGGCGGTCTTTGGGCTGTCTTGGGCTGTGCGGCGGCTGTTTTGAGGCCCTCCAGGAACGCCCACCCCCCAGGGCAGCAACAAGTCTGCTTGGGCCGACTCGATGCCATTTGAAGTCTTCCAGGGTGGCATGGAAAAAACATACAGTTGTAGTTCAATCTGCGATATGTTTTCTATTGAGGCTTGTCTGCATCAGTCTGAAGCTCTTGAGAATTACACTTTGTGAACAGATACGCTGAACTCTACGAGAATTCTGGCGGAGACTTCGAGCACTCTTTACAGGCTCTTGTCTTTGTGCTCTGGTACAGACCTTCCCTTCCCGGGGGTCTCTTAGACCGACCGGCGCTCGCAGAGGTGAGCGCGGGGAACGCAGACAGGTTCGGGGCCCCTCCTGGCCCCCAGATCTGGCTGACATCGGCGCGTCCCCCTTCGAACGCCGACGAGATCTCGGCCAGCGCTCACATGGTGGCTGGTGAATTCTGATTCCAGGGGCCTGCTGGGGAGCGTTGTGAGGGCCTCCGGGGTTTTCGTCTGGAGCGTGCTGAGGGCCCGTCCGGGGTCGCTGGGCCGTCTTGGTGGGCTGTGGTGCCGCCTGGGAGAGGTCCAGAGACGTTGTGCTCTCTCCGGCGATGCTCAGGAGGGGGCACCGCGACGGAGTCTCGGCCTCCAGGGGTGCTCGACGTTTTGTCCACCAACCCTCTTGGAGGATGTCCACAAAACCTCTTGGAGAGGTTTTTTTTTCATTCCCAGGCGACAGCGGGCGTTGCCATCCGGGGAGGGGGGCGTGGGGGCTGCAGGTAACGTCACGAGTCGCGCCGGCGCCGTCTGGGAACCCTTCCCAAACGGCGCCGGCCAGAACCGTGACGTCACCATGAGGCGGGGGGGGGGCATCCCCGGTAACGGCCGCAATTATCGCCAAGTGCAAGAACGCGCCACTCGCCGCAACACCTCAGCGCGTAAGCTTCCAGCACAAGGCGTGGCGTGAGGTCGCGATGTCTGCTCGCGTAAGACCTGTCGGTTCTCATTATTAGAGGGCCGCCCCTCTCGCCCCCACCCTTTCCCCCCGCCGCCCAGCCTGTGGTCGCCCGAGGGCGCGTGGGCAGCCAGGCCCCCTCACCCTCATTCACCGAGCGCGTTCCACTACTAGCAAGGTGCCTACTCGCAAACGTCCGAAAAACATGTGTCTGCTTTGATTTGATTTATCGTAGATCCTCCGCGGGGGATCCAGGCCATTTGCGAGTAGTCACTTTGCGAGTAGTGGAGCGCGCTCGTTCACTCGTAGTAAATCTCGATTGCTTGCTGCCGTGCTCGCGCGATGCAGCACCGCGTGCGTGACTGCCGCTGCCTCCTCGTTGGCCCAGATGAGGACAGCGAGTCCGAGTCGCGTCGCGATCAATACGGCGGTTGAGATCGGGAATGCGCCGAGTGATGCCGCGCGGTCGGCAATCTTTCGAAGAACGAAACACTGCATTAAGCATCGGAGATCCGCGCGGATTTTTTGGATCGGCGGTGCAGCCCCTATGGCGCACTCCGCGCGCCAGGGAGGGGTGCCCAGCGCCGATTCAAGAAATCCGCGCTGGCATCCGAGAAGTCATGTTTATCTTATTTTGTTTTCCTCGAACCAACAACCTCAGGAGGTCTTCAATCCTGGACCCCACCTAACCTCTCGGCGGGAAATGAAACTCGTCTTCCCCCTCGTCGCCCTTCCCGCCTCGCCCTCCTCCTCGTGCTCCCACGCAGTGGCATCTCCGGCTCGGCTTGTGCGCACAAGGAGAGTGAGGAGGATGAGGAGCTGGAGGAGGGGTTCAAAAAGAGTAAGCGCGTGGGTACGCTGACGACGACAGCGGAGTCGACGATGAAGACGGCGGAGGCCTCAGCACTGGCCGCCGCGGGGGGAAACATATTTTCCCAGGACTTCTGGGGTCCCAATCCGTCAATATGCCCGCGCAGGAAAAAATATGAAAGCTCTATAGAGACTGCAGCACTTGAGATCGGGGATGCGCCCAGTGGTGCGGCGAGAGCGGCAATCCCTGCGCCCAGGATTCCCCTTTTAACCCGTCTCTCCATGTCGTAATTGTCGCTCCTCCGCCTTCACTGCCGTAGTGCATTTGTCTCAGCAGGTCTGTTGCGTCGTTGCAGGCTTCGCGATCGATCCCTGGACTCTACGAGGACCCCACAACAGGTCCTGTCGGCTTGCAGCCTGCATTCCCGATGGAGATCAACGACCCAGCTCAGATAGCGGTGATGACACAACAGGCTTTGACTACATGCGTTGGCAGCAAATTCGATTTCAAAGTGATCGGCCATGACCTTCAGTTGGTCGAGGTCACTCTCAAGCCTGGTGATAGGATCATCGCAGAAAGTGGTTCCATCTGCTTCCTGGAGCCTGACATTCAGTTTGAGGCGCAGTTGAATGATGGGTCCAGACCTGCCGGAAGCTGGTGGGATAACGTCAAAGATGCCGGGAAACGCTTGATGGCGGGCGCTTCTCTTTCCATGCTGCACATCGAGAATGTTGGACAGAAGCCGAGGAAAGTTGCATTCTCGTCGCCCATCCCAGGCCACACGATCGGGATCGACCTAGGCGCCATGGATGGCTCCATCTTGTGCCATCGACACGCCTTCCTGTGCGCTGCGAGAGGCACCAGCATCCAGATCGGTTTCACGCAGAGGCTGTCAATTGGTATGTTTGGAGGCGAGGGGTTCGTTCTGCAAAAATTGGAGGGGAACGGACTTGTGTTCCTCCACGCTTGTGGCGCAGTAGTTCGGCGTGAGCTAGTTGAGGGCGAGCAGCTGCGTGTGGACACTGGATGCGTGGTCGGTTTTTCCGCAGGCGTAAAGTTCGACATTGCGCGCGTTGGTAGCATAAAGACGTCGATATTCGGAGGTGAGGGCATCTTCTTCGCAACCCTCACCGGCCCCGGAGTTGTGTGGATCCAGAGCGTGCCTTTCTACAAGTTCGCCATGAAGGTTTATGCCGAGATGCCCAAACCCCAACCTGTGAGGGAGGGGAACAGCAAATGACCTTGCCAGAAGCGCTGTTCGCTCCATCGGCCTGCGCCTCTCCGCTGCACATCCGCACACAGGGTGGCGTGGTGCGTGGCTGAATATTTGCGCTGGCTGCCCTCACTCCTGTAGCAGCAGGAAGTCGACGTCTACGAGGAGGATCGATGCTTTTACGTTTTGGCGTTTCGCGTAGGGCTTCTGGAGTGTTCTGCAGGCCTCCAGGTGACCCCAGCAGAGGGGATGAGGTTGGGTGTTCACGGAGTGGGGCCGGGGGAGACGGGGAGAGACGGAGAGAGAGTTTCGGTATCCCTAGACAAAGTGCGCGTCGGCCCCACAGGGCCGACGCGCGCACCGAAAGATCGCATAACATAAGCTCCGTGGCGGGCGCTGTCTGGCCATCCGGCTTGGCGAACAGTACCGTGTAACAGTGTCGTGCGACATGCTTCAGTAGACCCGCGTCTCCAAGGGAGGCACGCAGTACCAGTATGTCCTCGTCCCATGCCTTCTCGTCGACATCTTGATCCTCGCCCTGCTCCGACCTGAAGCTCCTCGGGCCTCCACCCTGGTGTTGCGGGGACGCGACGCGCGCCTGCGCTGCCAGGGTGAGAAGCGAAGGGGCCAGGGGGGGAGCGCCTCCGCTGCCTGGGTGCCCGCAGCCGTTCTCTGGGTGCGTCGCCGCTCGGGCCGCGCGGCTGGGCCGCACGGGGGGGTCACGCGGGAGGGGCGCAGTTCGGCGGGGGGGACGCGGGTGGGGCCTGCCCGCACCTTCGCGCACTGCGGAGGAGACGGCCTGCGAGGGCAGGTCTTGGCGCTTCGGCCTCTGAGGGCTCCCGTCGTGGTCCGGGGCAGTCGAGCAGCGACGCATGCAGGAGGAGATGCCGGCCCCCCTGGGGAGCAGGTGCAAACCTCTTGGGGTCCACGCTGCGAAATAGTTTCGACGTCGGAAGTCTGGGTAGTGTCGGGGCCACGAGGGGGGGCCGCCCGTTGGGCCATGCGTGGGGGGGAGGGGGACGCACGGACGGAGGGGGGGCACAACAGGCCGCACAGGGGGACCATTGAGACGCAGCAGAAAAAGCGTGAATGCCGCAACACATAGAGAGAAAGTCGGAGGAGCGACGACGCCATACAGAATGCAAGCTCAGCCCTCATCCGGGCACGCCTCAGCTGAGCCTCCGTGTTTCGGATGACCAGGGGCCAGACTGGTCAGGAGCGTGCTGGCACGGGATACTTACAACAGCGCTCGGAATCGCAGCTGGAATCGTTGGCAGGAGTCGAAGTAGTGCCGGAGTCGCTTCCCAGAAACATTTTCGGGGCTCACGTGCAAGGAGTCAGCGGTAACGGGGGTCAGCCAGTCCGCTCTGGCTGGCCCGGGTTTCGGAGCCGCGTGGGGCCGATTGGTCTTGTCTGCTGAGGAGCAACCAACCAAGCGGCCGCTTGGCTTCGCGACAGGGCCCTGGCCGACCTGGGTTTGCGTTGACCTGGGTTAGTGCGTCCCCGGCACTTGTGTCCGATTGTCGTCGGACAGCAAGGAGAGGCAGCACACGGGGGGGATCTCTGTCCCTCGTTTTTCTGCCGTCCCTCCCCCTGCACTCCTGCGTGGACTGGCCCTACTTGTCGTGCCGTGTCGCCGTCCCGCTCTGCCCTTTGCTGTTGTTGCCCGCATCTCGCACTGAGCGTCTGAGGGAGGATGTTTTTAAACTCGGCGAGCCCGCAGCATCCGTTACGGGGGGTCGCGACCCCCCCCCTTTCCCAGGACATCCGTTACGGGGGTCGCCCTCCCACCTACCCCTACCCCCCACTCCCCGCAACAGTACCGAGCGTACAGCGGGGGGAGGGGCAGTTCTCCAACAGGCATGGCACGGTGTTTGCGGACATGCTGTGGTGTTGACAGGCATGCTTTGGTGCTCACGCGCACGATGTGGCGGTCGCAGGCCCGACTCCTCCTGTCCCCCCCTAACGGATGTTACGGGATGATTGGATACAAGACAAGATTGCGGCGAGTCTTCAGATGTTAGTTCATTCGTGTTGGCCAGTGGTGATCTTCTCCAAGGATCTTCATGCCGCCACAGCATAACAATAGCTCATGACCGCACCAGGGGTACACACACTCTGTCGGAGCACTGCGTCAGCAATTCTCTTTCCCAACAAGCAATGGATGGACTGCTGTTTCAAAGCCACCTAATGTGTAACACACATACCCGTTCTCGTTTTTTTTTGGGGGCATCCTGAGATTAGATGGCACTTCCCTGTTGCCCCCCCCCAGGGTACCATGATTTACGTGGATCCAACTGGCCTCCTCCACAGCCACATACGTAGCCCCTCGTGCCCCCAGGCGTGGGTGGTGGAGGCTGGGAACCCGCCTTCCTATAAATCTGTAGTGTTGTTTTACGAACGTGGGCGAGGTCTGGACATTCTCCCGGGACCAACTTCTCATTCTGGTCCCCCCCAACGTACAAAGTGGGACTGCTGTTGTCGTTGCACGCACCCAGCGCAGGATCTCCTCTCCTCCCCTCTCTTGTCGTCACCATCATCATGATCATCAACATCGTCATTGTCAACACATTAATACCATCATCGCAATCATAGTTACCGTCGTCGCCATCACCAGATGAGTAAGGTTGATCATTTTCCACACTCGCTCACTCACACACTGACCATCATAATCATCACCATCATTGTCGTCACCCGCACCACCATCATCATCATCACCACCATCATCATTCGCATCGTCATCATCATCATCATCATCATCATCATCATCATCAGCATCATCATCATCATCATCATCATCATCCTCGCTATCATCGTCATCACCACCATTGCACACACATCGCTTTACACGCATGATCACCACACCATGTCCCCACACTCGCGATCACTAGCATCGTCACCATCAGCGCACCATTTTGATTCACTGCCACTCTCACCAGCCAAAGGTGGTTATCTTCACCATCACTAATTATCACCACACAATGTTTTCTCTGCCCCCCCCCCCGCGCAGGAAACATATCCCAACATCAGGATCGTGAGCGAATTGCGAGGAAGTCTCTGGCGGGTGTACTTTCTGCGAGAAAGTCTCAGGCCAAAGCTCCCTCCGTATGGGGCCCGCAACTCACATCAGTAATCTCAGCGGCCCATCGGAATCTTGTAATTGTCGTCGCTTTTGGGTTCCTCAGGCTTGGACATGGTGGAAGTCCCGGGCGGGAGCTCAGTTTGTGAGTGGATCGCGAGGAAGTCTTAGGCGGGAGCCCATTCCCTGTGGGGCCCGCAATTCATGTTATAGTTCGAGCGGATCACTGGAACCTTGTAGGTGGTGTTGTCACGTCTGGGTTCCTGAAGCTTGAATATGGCGGAAGTCTCGAGCGGGAGCGTATTTGGGCTCCTCTGTCCTGAATATTGCGAAAGTGTGTGGCGGGAGCGTCGTTTGTGAGCGAATGGTGAGGAAGTCGCCGGCGGGAGGCCCCCTCCCTATGGGGCCATGTTTTTTTTGTTCGAGCGGGTCGTCGGAATCGGGTCAATCTTATCATTTCTGGCTTCTTGAAGCTTGAGTAATGGGAAAGTGGCGGGAGCGTCGTCTGTGAGCGCATGGCGAGGGGGTCTCAGGCGGGAGCCCCCTCCATGTGGGGCCCGCAGCTCACGTTACGAATCCGAGTGGGGCACCTGAACCTTGCAAGTGTCGTCACATTTGGTTTCTTGAAGCTTGAAAGTGGCGGAAAATATTGAGCGGGAGCTTCATATGTGAGGGAATTGCGAGGACATTTCAGTCGGGAGCCCCCTCCCTGTCGGCGCGCAGCTCATATTATGAATCCGAGCGGGTCATCGGACCCCTGTATCTCTCCTGATCTCTAGCCTTTTGAAGCTTCAGTATTGAAGCGATCTCTGGTGGAAGCGTCGTTTGTCATAGAATGGCGAGGACGTCTCAGGCGTGACTTGGCGACGGCTGGGGCGGTGCTTGGCGACGGTTGTGGTGGTGTTTGGCATGAGTTCGACATTTGCGACGTGCGTTGTGCACCGCATGCAGCCACTGGTCGGCGCCAGCCCGAACACGGCCCGGCGCTGCCCAAAAGCCGAAAACGGTCAAACGCCACCCGTCGTTCGTTTTCAGTGCACGGGCCAATTTGGTGGTCGTGCTTGGTTACGGATCCCACCCATTGGCGGTCGTGTTTAAGCGCGTCACTTGTTGCATCGCTCCCTGGCAACACCTGAGATTGTGACCCCTGGACTCGGGTTCTACTCCTCCAGGGATGTCCACGCTTCCGCTGTGCACGCTCGTGTTCCAGCACGCGCGTTCCATAATATCAAGCTATGAGCGTGCTCCTCTCCTTTTCCCCGCATTATGTCTTCTCCCAAGTCGGTTCTGCCCACATCGGGCCCCGTAGTATCACCTTTCCCTCGGCTGCCTTCGAATGCGGTGTGGATCTTGGCCGCTGCGACTGAACAAGTTTTTCCCACGGGGGGTGTGATGGCCCGTGCTCGCGCTGCGCCGCGCTGCTGCTGCTCCTGCCCTGAGCTTCTGCGCGCGCGAGGCCGCCCTCTCGGGCTCCAGGGCGCCCGCTGCCCGCCCTAGGAGCCCGTCGTGAGGCGCTCTCTAGGTGGCAGCGGCGCCTGTTTCCGCCCTGCTGGGACGGAGGGTGGCCCATCCTCCTCTGGGCCGAAGCGAAATGAGCACGGAAACGGCGGGGACAAACATCAGAGGAGGGCAGGTTGAGACAGCGGTAGTTGGCCTCCGGGGGGCTTTCGTCGCCACGACTGGGCGCACCTCGGAAACTTGGTGCGATCCGACCCCTGGGGAGGTCAGGGGACCGATTTTGGGCTGCCGTTGTCTCAAACCGCCCTGTTCCGAAAAGACTGACAGCAGTTCGTGTCCGTTTCGAACCAGATTCGTTGTCAGTGTCGCGGCGGGCGTTGTCTGTCTGAGCCGAAAAGGTCGCTTGCCCGACCGCGGCCGCTGTCGATGTTGTTTGTTGGGCATCGTGCCATGTTTGTCCGTGCTCGCGTCGGCCGTGCCAATCCTGTTCGCTAAGAAGCCCCCGACGACGGGAGGTGTTTGCCCTCTTTCGGTCTTGGGGGGCCCTCGCGTGGTCCAGGTGGCGGCTCAGGACGGAGAGCTGGCCCCTGGGACGAAGTGCCACGCCTCTGGGGGGTGCACACGGCGATCTTCAGAACAGTTGTTACACTCGAGGACTTGGCATCGCTCGGACGTGTGCATTTCTTCTCGGCAAGGGCATCTTGGATCATCGTGGGGAAAATCAGCAGAGCACGACATC